TGTCTTCTGTCTATTTTCAGCTTCACAGTGGAGGAAAACGATGGTTGAACTGTAAAATGTCAAGCTACTGAAGCAAACTAAGCTCCCCAGCCACTACTGTGACTCCAGCAAAGGCTGAGATCAAACAGCAGTGACAAGGAGCTGAAGAAGAGTACAAACACCGGCCCTGATAAACTTAACCGAATGAAGCTAATACCAAAGAGTGGACTGGATTGACTGTAGAGCAGCAGCTGATTTGGTCTGGACAGGAACACTGTGACCATCTCTGTGGACAGAAGTGCAAGTTGCATTCCACTTAACTTTCAGATGCAGTGTATGTGGCCTGTGGCTTCCAGGATGACAGCATGAACTAATGTTGTACAGTATATTATCTGGTTAAATTATCTAGTGTATTTATGATACACTCAATCTGTAGCAAAGTACAAGAGATGTCTAACTTAATACAAGGTTGTGATTCTGGCAAAGCTGTCTTCACTGTCATGGCACAAAATCAAACTCCTCAGTGTAACTTGAGCTTCACCAAAGAGCTGTGCATTCAAATATTCAACTCCGGTGTCTGTTTTCCATCTTAATTTCTCTCTCTCTCTCTCTACCCACGACACCTGTAGTTACCGGTGGTGATAAACGCGGTTTAAGACTGAAGCTCACCGAGTTGTAAAGGGAAGATAAACAAACTATTGTCATTTTAAGAAGGCAGCCAGGCAATATTGGTCTTATTCCATCATTCTGTGAGCAACCGTGATCTGATTCTACACTGCACACGGCATGAGCCTGCAGACAGCAGGGGAGTGAAAGGAGCTGGTTACCTCAATAATTTGGAGGTGTACAGCCGGTCACCTGCAGCTCTTCATCTAACAGCTCACTGTGGCTGCTCCTGACTTTTCCATCGTTCCCTGCAATATTTCAATCAGATGCCCTGTCAACAAATGCCAAAAACCATTGCTGTCTTGTTTTGTAGACACATTTTTGATAAACAATAGCAGTAAGTGTACGGAGCTAGAACAGCAACAGTAAGTTTTGACATCGAATATGGCAAATAAATATAAATATGGCATTAAAAAAGGAAACATTAGCACTAAAAAAAAGTTTTACTGAGAAATAAAACACAGGCATTTCTCTTGAAAGACCGTGGGTCAAGAAGAGTTATTCTCTCTTTTTAGTACGTGGATTATATGTAAGTTATGCTCCCCTTGCCCCCTACCCTCAAACTCCTCCCCTCCACACCAAAACAGTGACAGAGAATTTGAACTAAAGATTAAAAAAAATACATAAATAAAAAAAATAAAATAAAATAGATTGGAACAAAACTGGCAACATGAAAAAGACATGGAATATTGTCACTGAAAAACAACAACAAAATAAATAAAAAAATGTAATGCCTGTTTTATTTTTCAGTTAGCCTATTTTTTTTACTGCCAATATTTCCTTTTGCAACACCAAATTTCATTTTCAATGCCAAAACCTAGTCCTACTGAGACTATTCCAGCCCCATGTAAGTGCTGATGTCACTGAAACACAATACATTTCCTGTGATTACTTCCTACTAAAAGTCAACACCCAGCCCATAATACTGAAAATATCACCACTGTGTCACCTCATTCGTGATTTAACAGACATTTATTTCAACAAAAACCTCTGAGGTTTGTTTTCTAAGTTAAACCATGGCTTTGGAAAATGTTCTTTCATTTCTGATTGGCTGGCTACAAAAATCTTACATCAGGATGACTCAGACATATTTCTGTCCACAGTTAACCATGAATCACTGTGTGAGGTACATTATTACAAACTGCAGGTGACCATAACACACTTCTGCTACATGCTATGTTAACAGTACACTCCCTCCTTTTGGTAAGTGGCCTAGTATGAGCTCAGTTAACACTCGGAAATGTCCAAGTATAGAAAAATAATGGACTCCGTGGAGGAAACATCTCCTCCACCTCATCCATTACTTTGTTATACTGGGACACCCTGTTGTGCGTTATTACTCACATGACATCATCTGTTGCATTGAGAAATAAAATATTATGAAACTGTGTAACACTGGTTACGTGTGTTCTGTGTGCAAACTCACATCTATGGAGGTAAAGAAAGGCTGTGATAATGTGAATAACACGACAAACAAAGTGTATAATGTTGAAATTTAAACACAGCATTGTAATATTTTACTTTGAAAGCCATCTATGTGGATTAGTATGGGCTGAAATTGCCTCTTGGAAATTCCTAGATGGTCAGGTCATGTGGTATAATTTCACCTATATTCAAGTACTCATACTGAACTGGTTATTTCAAGATCTAAAAAATCAAGTCAAAGTCAAAAAACGTCAACATCCAGTCCATAAAGTGTCAGTAAGGCTGTGTTATGTTCTGTCAGTCACATGATCCACAAGAAAAAATATCAATACTATATATTTGGTAGTACACCACAGTCACTGACATCATCATCATCATAAACTTTCACAAGAGTGGTTCCCAAACCTTGGCGTAAAATGACGTGACCGTCAATATGGGCGTGAACAAGCCAAACAACTTCATCTGTCTTATTTTAAGTAATCCTCCACCCACCGGAAACAACACGACCTCTGGCTACTCTGCCACTGCTTGAGCAGACATCATGTTATGATACAAGAGGAATTCACAAAATCTGTGAGTTTAAAAAAATAAACCAAGAGTCAAATGCAAGACATTTGAAAACAAACTGCAACCAACATTAGCACAGCAAGGTGGGCTGTACCGAAATATCATTCAGCAAGGAGTGGAAACAATTATCCTGTCTGAGGTTAAGGCACAGTTTTATCAGCTGATTCCTGTTACAATGTTTTCCAAGCGCAGAATTAGATTAGAATCAAATCCAACCTTTGAGGGACAGAAGAGAGAAGCTACTTAAGATACAACTGGGGAAATTAGATAAGATATGAAGACAGGGATAAATGCTGAACAGCTGAAAACTTGGTCCATTGTATTAGCTAATTTAATAAGCAAACATTCACCACTGTGCAAATAATATGAAGGCGATGAATCATAGACAAATTATATTCACCCTAACAGGATGGTTAAAAAATAGGTTACATATTTAATTACTTCAGCACTTCAGTAAGAAACTCTCAATTCTAAATGACGCACTAATGAATACCATGTTGCTTAATTTTTAAAGGAATGCGCAACATTTTCTAATATTCATGCCTCAGGCATTTTGGTCATAATCTAGTATTTGATTAAAAGTGTTTAATCTTGGATCTCCTCCAAAGTGTTTTTCTCTCTCTACAGTTGATTGCACATGCAAACGCTTCATATACGCAGTATTCTGCTTTGCAAAACTTCTCTGTCAAGCCTTTCCTGTGTCGACATCTTATCCTGAGCCAGTATCACAGTCACTTTTTTTTTCAGGTCAAGGAGATATTTTCAGGACATGGGACATCTCAGAAGACACCAAACTCAGACCTCAGAGCTCACCAATTAGGAGCCCTTGAATCTAATTAAGTGGATAGCACCTTAATTAGATGAAGTATTGTGGAATCATCCTGCTAACATAGCAGCATGACTGGGGCGCATACTGCTGGATCCCAGCTCACAACCTCTGCCAGGGCATCTCCTTTCTCACTGCTGAAACTGATAACAGCCTCATGATGTGACAGTACAGTAGATATAAGACTTTATTGGTTTATTGGCTCTCAGATGACCACACCGAGTCATAAAATAATGAAGGCTTCATGGGACTCTCTGCTGTTGCCTTTGTACCTGTCTGAGCACATTATTGTTTGACAACAGGGCAAACACAGATAACCTGACATCCCACAGATATTTCAGCTGCAGCCACAATACAGTGTGATGGGAGAAAAAGCATGGCCTGCAATCGACAAAGTGAAAGGTAAATGTTTTGTTCCTACTCCTTCAGAATGAAATAAAAGGCACTGCTCTGTTCTGCACTCAACATACTGTACTGATGTTTAACAATCACACAAGGGAAAACATCCATCACAAAGGCGGCAAATAACACAGAGCACAGTGGACGAAGCAGGCTGAGGAAAACTGTTCCTTTCTTAAATTACTCCTGTTCAGCTAATTGACCAGACTAACTGCCCGGTTTGGCCATCTACTGCCATCTAGTGTAGTGATTTGTGATAACCAGCTTCGCAAAGTGAGTTGCAAAACCTCTTTCATGTAATAGCTGCAGGATGATTACTTTGATTCTGCTTTGCAACAACTGTGAGATTCACTGCTACTTCGTCATCCCTATGAAATGGCTGTTTTTTCAGTCCTTTTCCCCCAAGGAAGGCTCTGTGTCCTAGAGGCCTGCCTAAAAATAATTGCAAAAAAAAAAAAGTCCAGCACCTGTCTCAAGGGCATTTGTTTCAACACTGGGGGAGGACTATATATTAATATTAATTGAGCATTAAACATTTAATTTCTTGCATTCATTTGTTCCTCTTCTGCATCAATTTGTGGTGTAAATATATTTAATTTTGTCAAAATTAAAAGTCCTCTGCTACTTTATTGTTTTTAATGGGGGAGGGATGACAAATGCACCTTCTAAACACTGAGTCCCCCCAAATATCTGCACCTATGCTGATTTTACATACACTAAGTGAATTTGCAACACCCTTGTAAAACTAAGCGATACCTATTGACTCGCTCTCTTAAAGTCATTGGGTCTTCATTAATGTAAGGAGGCCTGCAGGCCCTTTGTAGAGCCACCAGCACAAACCTTAATGAGTGGCAAGGGTCCTCTTTGAACTGATGTGTTGTCGGTGTTAGAGGCTGAAGCTAATACATTTGGGACTTTCACCTAAACTGATCCTTTCATGTCCAGACAGGCTAGTCTATTTGATGAAAGCTAGCTGTGATGGCAAAAGTAAACTCACCAGACCCACAAATTAGGGAGTGATAAACTCATCCATCACCGTTGCCGGGGTGACAGTATCCATATACGTGCTGTAGCCTGGCAACAGTGCCCAAACAAAAGGCTCGCGGGTAGCGGGCTGATTTGCCTGGCTGGGTTCAGGATGAGCCGACCCGGCAGCAGCCCTAATGAAAAAGGGGTCAAGCAAAATGGAGACCCAGGAGGTCATCTGTCTGTGTTTACTAATGCTCACACCGCAGCAGAGAGTCCTGAAACAAGGCTGTGGTCCGCCTTCAAGAAAGACACTCACAAGAGGAGAGTTTACCTGGCAGGGAGAGGTGAGTCCGCGCGTATCATGCCTTGGTTCGTAGCGGTTTCTTTTTCACACCAACGTGTTTAGAGTTTCAGTCGGAAATGAGAGAAGAGGGAGGAGTTTCCCCGCATTTATTTGCATATTGACTGTCAATTAGCGACTCATGATGACGTTTATCTTACCTGTTGTTGGACTGCTGGACTTTGCAAAAATAATGTCACGACAGAGAGCCCCCAGAGAGTGCCTGTACCTCTATGTAGGCCTGCAAAGATCTGTAGTACAGCATGAAAATCATAATGACAACAACTCCCAATTTTCCCCTTTCTTTCAGTTTAAATGATTAATTTATGATGGTCATCCATTTGCAAAGCAGATGATGAACAGCCTGAGGTGTCTGAAGAAAAGCACGTGCAGTTTCATCAACATGCCTCAGTTCTTCCCCACTTAGTGGCTTGCTCGCTGTCATTACTGCTATTACTGCTATACTGCATTACTGTTATTACTACATGTGCAGTTTTCCATACATTTCCACTTCTGTGTTGTAATGCTGGCATCACCACACCAAACTCAAGTTGAAGCTAGTATGGAAACAGATTAAGTTGTCCCCTGCCTTACAAACAATGAATAACTCAAGTTTTTTGGCAGTGCCTCATGCTAGGATCCCACTAATACTGTTTTGATCTAAGTCTGATACAGATTGTTGTGCACTAAAGCTACTGACAAAATTCTGCGCAGTGTTCAGTATTTTTTAAATATAACCATAATAAGTGTTCAGGCAGCAAGAGGGTTCCTGGTGTGAACCCTGACCTTCTGTGCGGGGTTTGCATGTTCTTCCAGTGTCAGTGTGGGTTTTCTCCCACAGTCCAAAGACAGTCAGGTTAATTGGTGACTCTAAATTGGCCATAGCTGTGAATTTGGTTGTCTGTCTCTATGTGTCAGCCCTGTGATTGTCTGGCGACATGTCCAGGGTGTACCCTGCCTCTTTCCCAATGTCAGCTGGGATAGGCTCCAGCTCCCCCGCCATCTCTAACAAGATAATTGGTTATGGAAAATGAAAGTGATGAATGAATATGTGTTCACTTCTCTGTTCTGGTCAGGGTGGAAAAATCCTCTGAAGCACATATAAGCATGTTTAACCTGCTCCTAAAACCTGGCACCTCTCAGCTTTCACAAGTGCATCAATATTAGGCATACACAGTTGTCCAGTAGGCCAGGCTGGACCCTTTGGCGGGACGGTTCTGGCCTGAGAGCCATTTATTTGACACCCCTGACCATGATACGATGCAATAAACCACTGAGACAGTAACTTCTTAAGCACGTTGCCAGTAGAGAATCTGTCCTTACAACACGACCACATTGTTTTAAACTTCTTCCTGATTGTTGCCACTTTTCATTTATAAAACAATGTGTAGGATCCATGCTAAAAAATTATTTGACAGTTTCCCATCTCATATTTCTCAGCAAGTTTTTCTCATCAGGGCTGTTTTTATACATCACAACCTTTGCATCGGAAGTGGTGTACGCCTCTTTCAGGCCTTGTTTTGTGCGTACGCAATGATTATAAATAAGACCCCTGATAACTTCAGATCACATTAACAAAAATGCACAAAAACGCATCTTAATTTTATTTTAGAGTGGACTTTCTGAGAGTTTCAGTCAGGTTTCTCTTGTTTTGACCTTCTTTTTCCTTGATTTTTTGGTGTGAAACAGTGATTTGTTGGCTGAAAAAAAACATTTGCAATAACTGTCTCTTGCAGAATATTACAGCGAGGAAGGAAAAACCTTTGAGCTGTGTCTTGTGAGAAAAATAAAGCAACAGCTAAGCGCTGATCCCACCCTTCGTCCGGAGTATCCATCTTCTCTTGGTCTGACAGAATACATCAGGCGAGCCACAGAGATGACTTTGGGGAGGAGCTGTCAGGCTGTAGTGGAGGATCGGGTAATCTCAGCTCTATATGTACACATTATATCCTGTACCTAATTATCTAATCAATCAGAGCTGTCATTATCTGGAGGCAGTGTGCAGACGGATTTGAAATTATGCAGTCATGGTTTTACATCTAGCTTCATCTAGTACTCAAATACTGTCACATCAGTCATATTAAGAACTCAACCCTGACTGTTGTTGTAGGTGTTAGGTATCCAGACTCCTGGTTTTACCGCTGCTGTGCGTCTTGGTGCTGAACTCCTAAGACACTGCAATGATGTCTGTGCTGCTTGGTGTGGGCCCGTCTACCTCTCCTCTCCTTGCGATGGTAAATGAAACCTCACTTTCTCTTAACAGCATTTAAAATTACAACAACAAAGTGCGTTGGCTTCAAAATGCTGGTGCACATTAGCTTTTGCTCTTGAGACGTAAAGAACATAAGTATTGTGGCTATTGAGCCAAGTGTGGTGATTGCATCTGTATGCACTACTTGTCTTATTACAAGAAAAGTGCACTCAGTGGCATGCAGCTCTCTGCCATGTGTCTGATGGCATATGGGTGGGGAGCAGGGAGTGAAAGGGAGGTTGTGGGTCCAGCGACAGAAGTAGAATGAAAGGGAGGTGATGTATAAATAGCATGGAGACAGACAATCCCAAAACACCAGCAATGTAAAAATGAAAATACAAACACATGAATCAACCAACACTGATGTATCCACCACGTACATTGTCCCAAGCAGAAATTAAATTCCAAACTGAAGCAGTTGTTGGTCCCCTGATGTTCCTACCCGCCGGTTAAGTGCAGAGAGGAGTCAGCTGTCAGTGACTGTTAAAACACAGCTGCAAATAAAATTGTTTTTCGAAAAAATGTGAATCACTGCAACCAGGAGAGGTGCTTGAGCCTGGCAGCGATAATTAACAAGACTGGAAGATGACTCACATGTATGCCACAAATAACATGCATAAATGATTCGCTAACATGGAAAGAAGTTGTATCCATAGTAACATTAATTATTGTAACGAGTAATAAGACATTATTTACATTACAAATGCAGCTCAGGATAGAGGTTAAAGGTCAACATTGTGATTACATCATGGTGTGTAAAGCAGCGTTGATCTTAAGGGGTTTGCACTGCTTTAGTTATCTGTTATAATGGTTCGTCTTGATCCTCTCTGCAGACTCATTGGCAGGTATCTTCCAGGCAGCAGGGATCCAAGATATCCGTGAGTATTATTACTGGGATGACATGCAGCGCTGCGTTTGTTTGGAGAAGCTTCTAGAGGATTTGGAGAAGGCTCCGGAACAAAGCGTTGTTGTTCTGTCGGCGTCTGCCCACTATCCAACTGGAGCAGACCTCTCTCAGAATCAATGGGCTGTAATTACCAAACTCATCATGGTAACTGACGTGTACATTTGTACTTTTTAACAGAGGCTCAAATTGTTTCTGTCAGACAAGTTGCTCTTCGCTCCTCCTCATTTGCTGTCTCCGCGCTGTTTCCACAGAGGCGTAGGCTTTTCCCTTTCCTCTTGCTGCCTACTCAGGCGCTCTGCTATGGAGATTTAGAGCGGGATGCCTGGCCTGTGCGGTACTGTGCATCACAGGGGATGGAGTTTGTCTGTGCTCAGTCGTTCTCCCACTGCTTTGGACTATATGGTGAGACAACCATCTGAAGAATATGGGTTTATGTGTGTGACTATGGCCAAAAACAGCCCATGCTACAAACTACAATCTGTGATGTTAAATCAGCGCAGACCACGGCTGTTCTGCTGCTGTCAATTTGAACTCAATTTTCTTTTCTTTTGTGCAGTTTTCCTCACATACAACAGAAAAGAGCAGCTATGTATTCATGTCTGTCGTACCCATTGTGCGCCAGAAAATACATGCTCATAGTATCTACAGAGTCCTAGTCACGCTTTCTGTTACCTTTCAATTCTGAGCTTTGTATTACAGTAGCATCAGGTAACTCATTGTTCAGATCAGCTTGTTGCCTGTTCCTATGCGACCTGGTGAATATTCCCTCGCCCTCAGCGGAGTGCCATATTTTAGTTTCTAATTCAAAAGTGTCCCTCTTCAACTTCATTATCAGTACCAGAAACATAAGAGAAAGGAAGTAGAACATTTCACTGCTATTGCCGAAACAAAGTGCTACTTCACATCGGACACATCTTCTCATTCTCTTCGCCAGGTGAGGCTGTTGGACACCTCCTGTGCGTCCTGAAGCAGAGCTCCCTCCTGTTATCTGTGCGGTCTCAAGCCGACAAAATAGTCAAGTCGCTGTGGGCCCAGCCACCTGTAGGAGGAGCACATGTTGTCACCACAGTGCTCAGTAACCCTGCCCATCTTGTTGAATGGTGAGTCATGCACCACTCAAATCAATAATCTAGTATTTAAAGAATGTGGCTCAGGCAGCTGGCCACATTGCTACTGTATCAGTAGATGTCCATAACCATGGCTGGTCGCTTCAGGACACTCTGGCAGATATGCAAAGCTTCAAAAAGCACTTATGCTACTAGTGATAAAAATCCTCCAGTTACAAAATGCCACCTTTTGCTCACTGGATCTTTCATGTTTTGCAGCTTTTGAGTTGTATACTTTAGATCTTATTTCCAAATGCTGTCCTTTTTTTCTGTTTCTAAGGCAGGAAGAAGTAAAACACATTGTGGAGAGATGTATGCTGATCAGAGAAGTTTTAGGAGACAGGCTGAGGCTTTTGGGAACTCCAGGTTCCTGGGACCACCTGACTAAACAAGGTGGACTCTACTGTCATACAGGCTTGAATGGTGAGTATGTATGCATAGTTATAAAATATTCATCTTGTTTTTTGCCTGTACAGTTAAAGGCTGTAACCTTAATTAGTGTTCACTGACGCAGTATTCGTGGGAATATTTATTTACAGAACTCTTACTGCCCACTTGATTATTTAAAGGAGCTGCATGTGACGCTCACAACATTAATAACAGCGAACCAATATTTGCTTTGTAAAGACATAGTGGAGTAATGGTGCCCAAACTGAGAATGAAGTCATGCTTCCTTGGCGTGTGTGTGTGTGTGTGTTGTAATTTGAGCTTCTCTGTGGGTTATTGTGGTAGACGTGCCGGCTGTGTGTGCATGTTAGTGTGTGTGAGTCCCTGTGAATGCAGTGTCTATATATAGCAGTTAGGGCTGATATCAGGACGACGTCATCACAGAAGCATAGTAACCACCCTCTGGTTTCTCCCCTAGGAAACAATATTATCTCAGTCAGTATTGTTTTTTTTGTTTTGTTTTGTTTTTTTTCCCCTTTTTTGTGTGCGTAAATGTGTATGTACATGTGTGCGTGTGCATGTGGTAGGATCTATGTGTGTATGTATGTATGTGTGTGTGCGAGTGTGTTGTGATGTCCTGAGAGGGCCAAGAGTTCTCAGCCTCTCAGGACATCACAACATGTACACGTGAGGATATTGATAGTGTTATGGGTGATTGGCTGACAGACAAGAAAAATAAGTCAGATGGTATTCAGGATGTTAAGAAATGAATGAAAGCTGACCAGAAGGACTGAGGTTCTGTTGTGTTAATGAGAGGGGAGGATGCATATTCCAGGGAGATGTAGTCAGTGAGTAAGTTTTTCCAGTGAGCCAGATGTATGGTGTTCCGTGATTTCCAGCTCATGAGGATAGTTTTCTTGGCGATAGTTAGGGCCACAAGGAGAAGTCTATGGTTTGTTCCATCTAGGTTGAATGTTGATAAGTCTCCTAGAAGGCAGAGTGAGGGAGATACTGGGATGCGGCAGCCCATGAAGCGGGATAGTGACTCAGTGACTTCTTTCCAAAAGTGTTTGATGGGTGTGCAGTGCCAGGTGGATTGAATGTAAGTGTCAGGACAGTTTTGTGTGCAGTGTGAGCATATTTCTGATGTGAATCCCATTTTGTACAATTTTTGCCCAGTGTAGTGAGTTCTATGGAGTATCTTATACTGTATGAGTTGTAGGTTAACATTTTTAGTCATGAAATAAATATTTTTACAGATTTGGGTCCAGAAGTCGGCATCAGGAGTAATGGAGAGGTCTTGTTCCCATTTTATTGAAGGTAGAAATATGGTTTTGTCAGATTGTGATATTATCTTATATATTTTGGAGAGAAGGTTTTTTGGGGGGGGGGATATTTATTAATTCTGAGATCACGGGGGGAAGGCATAGACTAGTGGTTCTAATATTGATTTTTGATTTAACAGATGATTTGAGTTGTAAATATTCCAAAATTGGTTACTCCTGATGCCGTACTCCTGGACCAAGTGGGGAAATGATACCAGGGTGTTAGTATGAAAAATGTGTTTTAGATATGTGATGCCCTTTTCTGCCCATGTGTGAAAGTTGAGTGTTCTTTTGTTGCTCAAGAAGTCAGGATTGTTCCAAATGGGGGTGAAACTGGATGGAGAGAGAGAAGAGTTGGTGATTTTGTGAAATTTCCACCAGGCTGTCAGAGCCGACGCTATTGTTATTGCACTGAAACATAAATGGCGTTTGATCGATTGACTGAGAAATGGAGTATCTGAAATCTGGATGTCTTTACAGAGTGTTTGTTCTATGTCTAGCCAGGTGTGGTTTGAGTGATTTGAGTGTGTCCACTTGTATATATACTGCAGTTGATTTGCCAGGGAGTAATGGTAAAAATGTGGTGCATCTAAGCCGCCTTGTGATTTGGGTTTTTGAAGTGTAGTGTAGTGTAGTGAAGTGTAGTCAGTTTGATCCTTTTATTTTTCCAGTAGAATTTAGTGATTATTGAGTCTAGAGAGTTAAACCAGTGAGAGTAGGGTGAGTTGGAATCATTTAAAAGAGATAATTTATTTTGGGAAGTATTGTCATTTTAATAATTGCTATTCTGCCCAAAATGGATAGTGGTAAATTCATCCAACAGTGGAGATCATCATCTATTGTTTTTAGTAGTGGAGTGAAATTGAGTCCAATCAGCTCTGACAGCCTGGGGGAAACATTGATGCCTAAATATGTAATGTGATCCGTGCATAGAGGAATGGGTGATATATGGGCTGCCGCATCCCATCTGGTGTTTTGCAATGGGAGGACGGAGGATTTATTCCAGTTTATAGAGTAGTCATAGATCTTGGAGAATGATTTGATGAGTTTAATTGTTTCTTGCAGAGATGATTGAGGGTTTTGAAGAAAGAGTAAAATGTCATCTGCATACAAACTAATCTTATGCTGTGTTTGGGGTGTTTGAATTCCTTGGATATGGAGGTTCTGACGGATGGCTGCTGCTAAGGGTTCAATGAAAATGGTAAATAAAGAGGGAGAGAGTGGGCATCCCTGCCTAGTCCCCCTGTGCAGTGTGATGTTAGTCCATTAGTGGTGACGGTGGCTGAAGGTGCAGTGTACAGAATCTTGATCCAGTTAATAAATGATTCCCCAAAGCCAAATGTTTGTAACGTGATGAAGAGAAATTTCCAATTAACCCTGTCAAAAGCTTTTTCTGCATCTAAAGTGGCTATTATGGTATCTTCCTGTTGTAATGATGAATAATGGATTAAATCGAACAGTCTACGTGTATTATTGGATGCCTGTCTGCCTTTGATGAAGCCGGTCTGATCTGGGTGAATTATGTAAGGAGTGACTTTTTCTATCCTGTGAGCGAGAGCTTTACTGATGATTTTTATGTCTACATTGATTAAGGAGATGGGGCGGTAATTTGATGGCAGGGTATGATCTTTATTAGGTTTTGGGAGGAGTGAGATTACGGCTGTGTTCATGTGTACTGGAAATCTTGAATTTTGTTTTATTTCATTTATTGCTTTGATGAAGAGTGGGGCTAAAATGGACCAAAAGTGTTTATAGAACTCAGCAGGGAAGCCATCGGGACCTGGTGCTTTGTTGTTTGGCATGAGGTTGAGGGCAATGGAGAGTTCTTTTTCTGTAATTGGTGAGTCTAATGAGTCTAATTTGGACGTTTAATATTCCTAAAAAATGAATTGATGTCCTCCTGTTTTGGGTCTTTTTCAGATGAGTATAGTTTAGCATAAAAATTTCTAAATATTTTATTTATTTCCTGTGGTGAGTTGGTAGGCTTCCCTGCTGAGTCCTTGATGGTGGAAATTGTTGCTTTTTCTTTGTTTCGTTTAATTTGATTTGCTAAATATTTACCAGTCAGTATTGCTGACATTGTTTGTTTTGTTTATTAAGTTAGCACTGGTGGCTGCTAGCTGCTTACTCAGCTACCTCCATGTTGAGAGCTGTGTGCAAACAATCACGCCCCAGACAAATTCGTATGCTCTGAATGTTGCATACAGCTCCTTTAACAATGCCGTTGATTTTAAATTATAATTGATTCCACAGTGTTTTCCTACTTGAATATTTTTGTTTAAATACTAACAGCAACAACAAAGCCCATGCTATTATCATAAATGCTGATGTGCGTTCACAGTGTTTCTCGTGTATTTTTTTTTTTTTTGTATACTTTAGGTGAGCAGGTAGAATTTCTGTCAAAGAGAAGACACGTGTACCTGCAACCGAGTGGCTGTCTAAATGTGAGTGCAATCAACGGTCTAAACTTGGACTACATTGTCGAGTCCATCCATCTGGCTCTGACCACTTCACCATGACCATGTGGCTTTTGATCAGGCTCTGAAATCAGTGTCAAAGGGGCTTTTCAGCCTGACTGAAACTCTCATTTAGATTGAACCTTTCATGTGTTTTGCAGGCCCAGCTACTGCAAATTATTATTGAATTGCCAGTGACTTTTGACAGAGGTGCAATCATTAGTAATTGTAACAGTGAGCAGGCTGTGATGGTCCTTCAGGTGAGAAGGCATGAATATGGGATGCGATCATGTGTGGTGTGTGCGGTATACAGTAGGTCAGCCATAGGTAAAAGAGTATGACAGCAGCTGAGTGATCTTCTTGTTAGAATTTAGTTAGACTTATGAATTTAAGTGTATATTTATTTGTTCACACTTTCGTTTTGGTGCTTATGTTTTTTGTAGTCTACCAAAACCTGGAGAATCTGTGTACGGCTAAAGCCAGCAGCTTGTTAGCTTAGCTCCACCAAAAGTAATGAACTCCACCTACCAGTACTTCTAAAGCTGAAAATTAACGTCATATCTGGTTTGTTTAATTGGCACAAAAACTGAAATGTAATGTCAATTTGTGGTGTTACAGGGATTGGGTGTGGGGGTGTTTCTTGGCAGAGGATAGTGACAAAACCACAAGCTGTTGTAAAGATTTAACAACTTTCTGATGAATGAGTTAAATTCCCAGCTTGAAAAGTGCTGGCAGGCAGATTTTGGTATTCACTGGATGTTCTTTTTTTTCTTTTCTTTTTTTAAAACACATATCTTTTTCTATGTTTATGCCTAGTGTCCACACTACTCCGGCGTTTTCAAACCCCTAAAAACTGAGGCTTTTGAAAACGCTGCTGACAGCATTTAATTTTGAAAACTGGGGAAGAGTGTTAGTCTGGATGAGCAGAAATGGAGACTGTTGACAATGATGACAACAGACACCAACGTTCGCTCCTGATTGGGTCTGTCCTTCCCCAATTCGTCACATCCCCATCTCGAAACCATTTTCTCCAAGGAAAACAAACAACATCAGCTTTGCAATGACTCCCAATCAACGTTTTCCACCGCCTTGACGGCCTTATACTCATGTCTTACTTTAAGTAGTTTCACCTTGTCATGTGTTCAAGCAAAGACATCTGTGGCCTTTCCTTGACCGCAAAGTTGACAATCTTCTTTCTGTTTATACAGGCATGCACATGCCAAGTGTTAACGAGTTAAGTGTCCATGTGTATCCAGGTATGTTAGTATGGACGGAGATTATTTCTGAAATGAGTAAAAACGTGTTAGTGTGGACGTAGTTTCAGACAGAGCCAGGCTAGCTGCTTTCCTCCTTGCCTTATGAACTTAAACTAATGCTAAGTTAAGCTAACAGGCCACTGGCTGCAGCCTCATATTTAATGGACAAATGTTATAATGGTATCAATCTTCTCATCAAACTCACTGCAAGAAAGCGTATCAAGTGTATTTTAATGTCGATCATATAGTGGACGTGTAATGTTATGAATGACTGCGACTCCTTTTATATTCAGTTGAGTTCAGTGAGTTGCTTTAGATGTTGTTCTGATTTTGTAACATCAAAGAAGTTATGGTGTCTCTGTGAAGTTACTATATATACGTCACTTTGTGAGAGACAACATGATCTTTAGATGACTTTGATGACTCACCAGCACTATCTAATCTAATATAAAGTGAATCAAGAGCTTATCTGTAGCTCAAAGGAAACAGCATAGTATATTGCTCACTGCATTCAAAGCTAAAGGCTCTCCAGCTTCATGAATCTTTGCAGTTCCTGTAAACAACAGTCAGGAAAAAAAATAATCTCAGATATACTGAAAACACAGTCTGTATACACAGCTGATCTCAGCTGCCTGTGTAATTCATTAGGTTTGCTGAGTAAACAGCGTTGTCTGAAATGTTCACAAATGTCTGTGCTTCTTGTACAAACACACACCATATTTCCATGCATGTCAGTGCTGGATTCTTTTCAATTATCCCTGGTAAGTATGATATATGTATCTTTTTCAACACATTTCCATTTTCTTTCCATCATTCAGGCTACTGCCTCAGTGAGGGCCTGTACTGGTAATAGCTGCCGTCATATCTGCCTGCCAGAGAGGCAGAAAGATCAAATTAGAGAAGAAGCCAAAAGATTTTTATTTAAATGCTTTCATTTGTCAAAAACAATACTCTTATTAAGAAGTTTGGGTGCCAACCACGGAGGAAACTCTCTTTTGATGAGTTGTATTTTGCATTGGATTATTTTGGGGTTTTACTGCCAAATAATGTTTTTAGTAACATTTGCTTTCAACTAAGAAATGCTTTCAAATGATGCAAATGTAATACGGCAAACAACTGCTCTGAAAACATCAGTGAGTAATCCACTTCTCTATCATGCATGTCTGTGTGCCAACATACTTTTTTGGAAAACACACGGCTTTTATCTAACTAACTTTATACCCTCTTTTCATTTGTGAGATATGCCACTAATGTGACTGGATGCTGTTTTGTTCTGACAGACAGTTTGCGACAAGATATTTAATGGAGGCAGCGAGCTGGCTCTTTTCATTTCCAGTGACCAGGGGTGAACGACGAGGATAATCAGCATCCACCATCATACAGGGCCTGAGCCATTAAACGCTGTTAGGAGCCCTTTGATTTGTATCTGAGTGTGCTACATGTAGACTGTGTTGCAGATACTCGCTCATATCACAAGTTTCAAGTTTGATATAAGTTGTTTACATGCATGCTAATATTCCATGTGCAGTTACCCCCGCAGGCATGAATAAATGGGACTGCCTAAATATAAATATTAAACTGGAAACTGAACTTACCAGGTCTGCAAAAATAAAAAGTAAATGGGAGGAAGATGCTGCCTGCCCTCTAATATTAGCATTACCCAGAGAGTATATTCACATTTATCAAAAGATTTCAAACACTGTAGACTGTAGGCACTGTAGAATTGGCCATGACATTCTTTTGGTACCACTTTTCAGTAGGTTTTAGTTTAGAATAGATACTTGTTCGCAATGTCATCGTGACAATATTCAGTGTCTCCCCATACAACTGTTTGCCTGCAACCTCATGAATCAGTGGCCAAAAATTGATGTTATATATTTAATACTGGCAACATATTACTGTTCACATGGCTCTGAACACCAGACACCAAGGTTAAAGTGCTTTGTGACCCATCATCACCCACCCAAAAATTTTACTGAGAAGTAAAACCCTTTGAAACGTTTCCTTAATGTGTCATATTAAGAGGATATTGAGCTGGGGAACATGGGACCCCGGGGACATATATATATACACTCCCAATCAATATTCTCTGTCTCTGCCATCTCACTTCAGCACACACATCCAAGCAGCAATGATGATGGTAACCCAGACTCTGAAGGAGTAATCACAAGCCGGTTAGCAGTCTATATAATTACATGACAAAAACTGTTAACTTTGGCTTGTGTGCGGGGACCTCTAGATTGTCACTGCAAGATGACAATCAAGGCAGTACATTAAAAGGACATGGGAACCACCGTGTGGACACCGAGCAGCCTTTCATTACCACAAGAGTAATGCTGGCCTAGTCCTCTAGTGCACTTGGACTTAGAATAAGATGTGTTGACAGTGATCAGTGACTGGCCATGACTCACAGGATGAGTGGACAAACAGTATTAACTTCAAACAAAACAAGCCTACAATGCTGAATCTATTTACTGTCAAATTATCCCCTGCAAACATAATAATTTATTTCAAGTGGAGCAACAATAACACGGAAATTACCTGAACCGTGTTATCCTCTGAAATAATAGCGCCTAATTACAACAGTGCTACACTTGTGTATGTCAGGGATGCATTATATTTTTCATTTTAAATGGAGCCATATGAAGGTTGAGTTTTGAGTTCGACATTAAATATTCATAATCTGTTAATTGAGTCTATTATCAAAAGAGTCTAATTCTATTTATCTTGCAGCTTAGTCATTGGTCAGAGGGGCACTAGTTGATGTAATGACGGTGAATTTGGCAACTGTAGCAAGTCCTCTGAGATGTTTTTTATTGATTTAAAATACTTAACAGGCTGCATTAGATTGCATATCATAAAGAATTGTGACATTTATTTACGTGTGAGTGACCTGATTCTGCAGAGGCTTCGACACACACGACCCATTTATTTTGCATTAAACTGATGGAATACTGTTAGATGGAGACCTTATTTTGACACAGCCACTTGCATTAAGCAATAACGTCAGCGTTCTATGAGAGGCACAGCAGACGGTCACACTTACCACAGACCCTGAACACCAGCCCACATCAGCTTTACTGCTAAAGTCTTCTTTAGCGCTGACATTATTTTTGAGTCCAAAAAGGTATGACTGAATGTTATGTCGGTCGGACTAATATGCATTTGGAAGCAAAAACAAGACTGCCAGTGTACAGACGCGTCAGCAGCTCTGAGGCTTAAATTAGGCACAGCAGCTAAAAGCCAACGTTAACATGCCAACAAACTCAGTGACATGTTTAATTAAGCACATAGCTCATCTGAGGCAGAAGAAAAGTCATTAGTTTTGCAAGTAGGCCTATTTGGTGAAAAAGCATTGGCAAAATAAATCTTCTGATGATGGCACTGGATGAAAATTACAGGGATCACCAGAGTTTTTAGAATTCATCCTCTTCTCCATGTTAATCTAGCCAATAAAAGGAGAGATATTTAACTCAAATAAAAACCGCTAAAGCAAAAGTTTTGGGGCCACTGAAGTTATTAGGATACATAATCTGAGAACAATGAATACATGTAACATATTGTTCCCATCTAGAGGTCATTCCTGCGTTCCCAGGAGTCTTTGTTCCCCAGCTCTTTATAGCTCATAATGGGATGGGTATGCCATGGGTTAAGTTAGAGGACTGAAGTCATGCCTCTGAGAGTGATAAAGTTCTACTGGTGCAGCATGTTGTCTAAATATAGTAAGATATAGTCTTTCTGTTAGGGGGACAGCTCCAAAATAAATTGCAGCCCAGGAAATTAGAATACTCAAAATTAATAAATTCAAAAAATAGTAACTAACCAATAAAGGAATGGAGAAAGGGCTAAGGGTTAGAAAATAGGCCAGGTTTGATTCCTATCTAAACAGATTAATGTTAGATAAGAGGGCCAGGTTTGGTTAAAATATACATAACAATGAACTATTCACATCTCCAAACAGGTTAAGGTTAGAAAAACAAC